GCCTCATTTACTTTGCTGATTCACAGTGGCACAGCACATTGTGATATTTTGCATCAGCAAACTCTTTTTTTTTAAGCATCTGCTCATATCATCAGAAAGTGTCTGCACTTACAAGATACTCAGTATTGATTTCAGGTTAAGATAGAGCATTTGTCATTCAATATATTATTGTTGAAGTTCCTCAATGGTTATTATAAGCAAAGGATCAGGCAATTTCTACACAGCAAGCTAGAAACAGCATGGATAGTCATTTAATCTATTTCCCGTCTGCTGAGGGATGAATGTTGAACAGGAGACTGGGAGCCCTCCTCAGCTTTCTTTCGTGGTGTTATCTGAGCTTTTGTATCTACCTTGAACAGGCAGCTGGGCTGTTTAGGTAAATGTATTTATTTGTACAGAATCTGTAGCTTTACTTATAGAAGGTGTCTTTTTTGTTGGGTTCAATTTAAATTGTAGTAACCGGACAATTTACTGTATTAGTGGGAGGTTCAGTTTAATTAGATACTGAGCCATTTCAATGTTGTTTTGGCAAAATGAAAATAATGCATGATTTTAAGTTTTGAGGCATCTGTGATAGAAACAGGCACAATTCTGACGAAATTACTTTTCAAGTTCTGCACTGAATTAAAATAGTAATTTTCTGGATACAACATTTTCTAAAAAAATACATTTATACTGGGAGTTAATGGAAACAATTGTTTAATCAGCATTGAGGTGAGTTATCAGGAAAATCTGAGAGGTAAATAAAGTTGACTGTGTGCAAAATGAAAACTACACAATTCATTGCCCAGGTTTGATAGTTTGGGGGTCGGTCAGCTCAATGGGCTGGACGGCTGATGATGAGTGAGGTAACCATGAAAGACTGTTCTTCTCAACCTCACCCATCGCCTGAGGTGTGGTGGCCCTCAGTTTAAACTCACCACCAGTTGTCTCTCTCAACTGAGAGTGTGGTCATCTGGGACTATGGTGACTCTACTTGGATACAATATTAAAGAAAAACACAATATGAAAGACAGGATGCACACCACTGGGTTAACCCAAACAAAGGAAGTTTGTTCAATGAAGACATCAGGAGCGTAAGTGAAAACATGCAAGTTGTTGTAGTAGGAAATGTCTACCCACCAAATATAAACCTGGAAAACACAAGTGATTTTCCCTCTTCGTTCCAGTTTGCCATTTGCGTTAGCAAATATTCTACAGGATTGTTTTGTTGCTGGGGCATCAGATAAGCCATGAGAAATCACTTTGCGTATATTGAGTTGGGAGTCACAAGTGGCCCAAACAACAGACATGAACTAAAAGGCTTGGGCTCCTTGGGTAACAGTGAATACAGAAGGATCAAGTTCAAACTGATCAGGGATTTGAAAAAAAAATTAAGGCTCAACAGCCAGATGTCACATTAAGAGTTAAATTCAGTTAAGTAAAGGACAATGAAAACAAAGTTTTGGGGATGGTGCTGGTTGAAAACACCTAAGTACAGGATAAGTGCAACCTATTTAAAGGCATATGCCAAGTAATGAGAGTAAATATATGTCTAGAATTAAACAAGCAATAAATTAAATATGGAGCAAAATTACCCTCTACACATCCTGGGGTATGAACAGGGAAGATGCTCTCTGGGACTAAGAAATGAAGCTGCAAAATTATATTCAGAGAGAAGTCATTGGTATAAAGAAGAATTTGAAGAACAGTCTGACTGCAGATGCAAAACATCATGGTACAAACATATTTCAATACATGCACAGTAAAAGGACAGAGAAGAAAGGGAATTTAAAAGATGTAGAGAACTTTGAAATAATGGATAGTATAGCATCGTTCATATGCTGAATGGTTAATGCTTAAAGCTATTTTCAAGGCAAATCAAAAACAATGTGTAATTAGCAAAGCAAACAGAATTCTGAATTGAAAACCAAAAGAACTGCAGTTGCTGGAAATCAGAAACGAAAACAGAAATTGCTAGAAAAGCTCAGCAGGTCTGGTAGCACCTATGGAAAGAAGTCAGAGTTAATGTTTGGGGTCCAGTGACCCTTCCTCAGAATGGCTGGAATTCCTCAAAATTCTGAATTATGTAATCAAGTCAGTCAAATAAAAGAGAAATCAAGCTCAAACTATAAACTTCTGGAACTAGAGATCATGGGGTAAATGTGCAAAAGACATATTTGCATATGAAACTAGCAGATCAACTGCTTAATTTTTACTTATTTGTTTGTATGACAAGGATGTTATTAGGAAGGCCAGCATTTATTGCCATCCTTAATTGTCCTTGAGAGGATGATGGCAAGCTGTTTTCATGATTTGCTGCAATCTTTGGGTTGTTGGGACACCCACAGTGCCATTAGGAAGAAAATACCAGGATTTTGATCTAGTGACAGTGAAGCAACTGTGACAACTTTTCAAGGCAGGATGGTGTGTGGCTTGGAGGGGATCTTGCAGTTGGTGGTTTTCCCATGTATCTTCTGCTAGATGTAGAGGTTACAGGTCAGGAAGGTGCTATAGAAGGAGCCTTGTTGTGCTGCTGTAGTGCATCTTGTAGATGAGGTGAAGAATGGTGAATGTTGAAGGTGATGAATGGAGGGTTTCTGATCAAGAGGGTTTCTTTGTCCAGCATTTTGAGTTATTGGAGCTGCATCATCCAGGCAAGTGGAAATGATTCTATCACACTCCTGGCTTGTACTTTATGGATGGGAGATTTGCTTTGGGGAGACAGGGGGTGGGTTAATATACTGAAATGTGTGAGGCTGGAAATATGTAGTGCAAATTGATAAAAGAAATTCAGTCACCTTCTCCTCATCACAGAGTTTCACCCAAGATTCAGAACAATTATCAGTTATTTTTCACACACGATTTTGTTAATTTTGAATGTGATTTTGGAATCAATACAGAACATTACCTTCCATTCATTCAATTTGGGAATAACTGTACTGTACTAATAACCAGATATCCTAGGCCCTAGTTATACAAAAGGATAATTTGATCAAGGAAGATTACAGACATGTAATCAAGTGCACATTGATTCATTTCATGACTGTAGCAAAGCCAAAATTAATATACAGTGTATGTTATTGATTTCTTTTAGCTAAATGTGTATATTAATCTGCCATAAACTAAAATGCCCCTCTACATTTCATCCTCACAGAATATTCTCATGAATCAGAGGGTGTCTATGTGATGGTGAACTCTATAAACAAAGTGCGTTCAGTAGGTTGATGTGATATATCCACTGCACGAGTGAGTGCGCATCTTGCTTTTTGTGCTAGTTTGCCTCTCATTTTTGGCCCACAGTTCTGGATAACAGCAATATGAAAAAGTAGAATCATATGGGTAAGGTTCTCACTGACAGTACACAGCATCTTGAGTGTCGAGTCCTCAACTGTGCCTCCTCATGGTAACACATTGAAACTGGGTTCCTTGCAACCCTAGGCTGGAGCCTGGAGGGCATTTGACCCTCAGGCATGCAGTGTGCAGGCCCACTGGCATGTAAACACACCCTGGTACACACAATCCAATACCCCTGATCTGGGATGTGCTTCACTACCTTGTGAAGCCTTTGGCACAGTCAAAAGCTTAGGGAGTAAACCCTGACAATAAAATCTGTAGTGAACAAGAACTAGGGGGCATAGCCTCAAAATAAGAAGGAGCAGATTTAGGACTGAGTTGAGGAGGAACTTCCTCTCCCAAAGGGTTGTGAATGTGTGGAATTCCCTGCCCAGTGGAGCAGTTGAGGCTACCTCATTGAATATTTTTATGGCAAAGATAAATAAATATTGAACAGTAAAGGAATTAAGGGTTATGAAGAGCGGGCAGGTAAGTGGAGCTGAGTCCATGAAAAGATCAGCCATGATCTTATTGAATGGTGGAACAGGTTCGATGGGCCAGATGGCCTGGCCCTGCTCCTGTTTCTTGTGTTCTTATGCTCTAAGCCCAAAAGCAGACTGATGTCTAAATACGTCAACTTTCCGGCAACTCCTGCAATAAAGCTGATGACGAACATAGTTCTTAGTTGTTCCTTTTAAACCAATTGGAGACATTGAGAGTGGTATCCTGACATTTGGTCAGCCCAAGCCTGCTTCACATCTTCTGCCCAGTTTCATGTGATTTGAGTAGAATTTAAATAAGCAAGGCTGGATACTTTGGGTAGTAATTTAAGTCAGGGTGAATATCCCATGCAGTAACATTGCATTGCTGCAAGTAATTCCCCTGTACCTGTTACTTCAGATTCAAAAAATTCCATTCTTAGGAGCAAAGATTCAAGTGCAGATGACATTCTGTCTGCAACCAACACAGTTATTTATTCAATATTAGAACAGCAAAAAAAAAGCTGCAAAGATTCCGCAGATCAGGCAGCATCTGTGAAATCTGGTTCAGTATCTGTTTCAGTTGGATGATCTTCCACCAGCACATAGCATCCCCAGCATTGAGCTCAGGCTCAGTGAGTTAATCCAATAGCTGGAAACTTGCTGGGTCCTATGCTTTGCAGATCCAGTCCTGAATGTCACTGTCTTCATCTGGGATGGTCCTTAACGAGGTAATAAAAATGAGGTGAGTTGATTTTTCTGTTCTTGAAACTTGCTGGGTCAGATGCACTGTAGAGCCTCCGGACCTGGATGTCACTGCCTTTACCTGGGATGGTCCCTACAGAAGCAAAATAAATGAGGTGAGCAGATTTTCCTGCTGTGGAAACTTTCATTTATCTTTGCAATGGAAATGGGGACGTGACCTGAAGACTGGACTGAACCTCCAAGCTCCTGGCTGTGTGGTTCCACAATATTCAGTGCCATTATAAACTCGAGGTCAGCATGACCGGTTGCTTCTCCCACAAAGACGCCCCGTGGGATGCAGAACTGAATAATCGATGCCAGTAGAAAGTGCTGAAGTTGCAGTTAAATGGCTTTGACTGCGGGCTCGTGTGACAGTAGGTTTTTTTTTTGCAAAGGTCCTCTGGCACTTTCCACCGGGCGCTTCCTTATTTTGATCAGTAGGGGTCGTGCAGTGTCAGTGTTTGTACTTTTTTCGAGTCACATCTAAATGGGGGTCTCACTCTCTTTTTTTCTCTCTCTCTCTCTTCACTGCGCAGTCCTCAAACATGGCGGAGACTGATTGAAATCTAAGCTTTGAGACACGCCAGAGGGGAGGGGAAAGACACAGACTGGAAAAAAAAAGCAGCCCTCGATTGGAACAAGTAAGTACTGGATCCCCGCGGAGATGGGGAACTCGGGGGTGTGTGTGTGTGTGTGTGTGTATGTATATGTGTGTGGGGAGGGGAATCACCGGGGCCACAGCATCACAGACCGACCCCTTGTTGGCAGAGGGGAGGGGGTTGGTGGAGAAACAAAAGCAGGAGCCTTTGGAAGTGGATCAGGAGCCCAGGGCGCGCTGGATACATTGTAACCGCGCTGGATGTATCGAGTGTATCCGCTGGCGCTTTGTATCCAGGTCCTCCCCAGGAATCTTTAGGCAGCTCGGGCTGGAGCTTTTTTTTTGCCCCCCTGCTCTGTCTCCTCTCTCCCTCTCTCTCTTCCCAAGTCTGGGCTGTTTGGCGCTGGGGTTGTTTTCATTGTAAGTTGCCGATCTCTCCCTGTCTGTGTGTCTGGGGCCTTGTAGGTTACAGAGAATGAAATTGAACATGAGCTGTCACTTTCTCTCTTGTCTGTCTCTCCCTCCACCCCGAGCCGATGGGGGGGGGACACACACTCTACCTACAATTTTAGATAGGTGTTGTGTGCGGGGTTTTCTCGCACTCTCTTCCCAGGACTCCCAGCAAAGTGCTGCCCTGTCAACCCCTCTGACCGCAGGCTAAGGGACACTGTGTGTTTCACCCCTTACATTTATATTTGTTTTTAATGGGGTATACGGAATAAAAGGGGCACACGGTAAGCAAGTGGCAAAGCGGCCCAGGGAACCCCAGATCCTGACTTTGAAATGCGTTAGGAATTCTGGTGGAAACCTGGAAGCAGTCGGTGGAGAAACCTGAGAACAGCACTCACTGACTGGGGAGTGTGTGTGTGTATAGGGGTCTCCTCCTGTTCCTCACTGGCAGGGGATAATCTTTGTACCTTAGTGCACACGTTGCCTGTTTCTAAGTGAAATCATTGCTCCCACCTCTCTCTCCCAGAAGGAGAATATTCAGGGGCTCGCCTTGCTGTGTTAAACTGGCATATCCTTCTCGTAAAAAGTCATCGAGATTGAACGGCCCATATTTTGACAGTTGTCTCGCTGTCGCTACTTGTGCTTTGGAGATTTTGGTGAAAGTTTTTTCCGTGGTTTTCAGAATGCGCTCCTGCAGCCACTTCCCAGATACAGTGCAGTGCCTGAAATACACTAGTCCCCATGCTGAGGCGGGAGGTGAAATTTAAGAGAAAGTAACAATCCCTTTAACTCCGCACCTTCCTCCCAGCACAGCTCCTTGCACTGATTCTGGGGACATCGAAACGGCAGCATTTCGAGGACGAGAAAGCTGGGAAACATTTCTAAAATGGATCAGCTCTGGAGCTGGGGAGGTATGGGGGTTGAGGGGGAGATGTGTAGATGTTCGGAGGCACAAAGGCACACGTGGATGGATTTGTGTTAGTCTCTTCACAGCACTATGTGGCCCAGCGGTTTACCATGGTGATTTGAGTATTTAGCAGATGTTTTCTAGCTGACCTGGACAGAGTTATTATTGTGCAGCTCAGCACCTGGTGGGAAATGAACCTGGGCCTCCTGGCTCCAAGATAGGAACACTACACTGCACTACAAGCATTTCCACTGGAAGGCCCTGCTAACTACCGTTTTGCACTGGTATATCAAGTTTTGTGTAGAAGAGATGAAACTTTGCTCTCCTAAATACTCTGAAGAAGGGTCCTGACCCGAAACGTCAACTTTCCTGCTCCTCTGATGCCGCCAGGCCTGCAGTGTTCCTGCAGCTCTACGCTGTGTTATCTCTGTGCACCAGTGTTTTCTTTGTTATGTTGTAGCTGTCTTTTTCCATCCACACTCTGTTAAATGTGCAACATTCTCTACTGTGGAGTGGTGTCATTCACTTAGAGTGAATGTTCTGACCAGTCCAGGATTAAGTGTGGAAAAATCTGAGCATGTAATCCAACCCAGTCTTTAAAGACCATCTTCCCCACTTGTGGCAGAGTGTGTGGGTCCAGCTTCAAACTGTTCATTCACCTCAGCAGCCATAACCTTGATTCTGAGGGACTGCCTAATGAAAAAGGATATGGTGCCATCACATACTTTCACAGAGCCACTTAGCACCATCTATATCAGTCAAGGTGCAGACTGGGATTCCTTGGGAACAGTGAGAGTGAAGAATTGGAAGGAGCAGGTCTGGGCACGTTAGAAAATTTCGATGGCTGGGTGTAACAAGAGGACTTTAGGCAGGTGATAGGGGGTGTGGATGGAAGAGAAAAACAAAACTGGCACTCAATGTCCCATTGTGGAGTCTAAATGAATAATGTGAAAGGTGTGGTGTGACAATCTGCTTAGTTTATGTCTGCCTGAATGCTCTCCTTTTTTATACAAATAGTGTTTCCTTTAATTGCAGATATCATTGTCCTTGGAGACTTCTGATCCTAAGGCATGCTGGGCGTTGAGGTCACTAATTGGATTTAAAACTTGACAATTACTTGGAATTGATGAATGACGGGGAAAGGGACATTGCAGCTTTCAGAGCTATGATGGGGACTGAAGCCTAAATGTGTGTGGAACAGTTTTAAATCACCAGCAATTTGTCCTTCACAAAAGCACAAATCTTTTGAAGGTACAGTACAATTTGATGGTCTTTGTAAGTGTAATTTGTTAAACAGAGCAGATACTTTCAGGCCCCAAGTAGAACAGATTACCCAGAATGCAGTTTAAGCTCCAACATCCCTAAGGTCATGATTCTCCCACGAGTAAGCATCTAAGTACCTTTCGATTACTGTCCATAGACTCATTTTTCTCTTGTTGATGTTTCATCTGAAACCTGAAACTCAACACTCATTAAGTTTACAGCAAATTTCATGCAGGTTTTAATGGTCTCTGTCAGCTCTGTTAAGGAAAGATTCTTTTGCTGTGTGAAATAATTTGGATGGGGGAAAATGGTGCTGGTTTGACAATTTATCTCACTGATGCAAATATGCAAATGCAAATTGCAGTGTGAGTCATTTGGTACTCAAAAAGAGAAATATGCCTACCATTTTACTACAAATAATGAACAAAGAATGTCTTCCTCTAAATGTTTTATATTGGCAATTTCTGATTGGGAGTGAGCACTGTGATGCAGTTTAGGATATAATTATTGCCCTCCCGACTCCATCTGTCTTCCCACCCATTCTTTCATGTGATACTGAAAGATAAATAACCTTTGAATCCTTTTTGATCTGGAGCTCAGCTACAAACCCCATATCCAGTCCATCACTGAGTCTACTTATTTCCAACTCCACAGCATCTCTCTCCTTTACCACACCTTACTGTACTCCAATAGAAACACTGTCCTTTTGTTCAGAATATCTCAAAAGCATTTATTGTTAGCTTCACGAACATGGATCTCCACAACTTGTAGCTCATGCAAATCTCTGCTCACCTTCTGTCCCATATTATCAACTTGCCTGATAGCTTTTGCCTCATGAGCTCAATTGGCTTCTTGTCTTTACACCCTTTCACATACATCGTTCTACTGCTCAGCAATGTACCAAGAATCCTCAATCCCATCCACAAATCCCTTCTTACTGCCTTTCCCTAGTCAAACTACGTGGTTACCGACAAGCCTGTTTCAGTCCTAAATCTGGTAGCTCAGTTCTAACCTTCTATCTAACCTCCCTTCTTAGTTTTGCTGTAATTTGAAGAAAATTTAGTTGTTTGGGTTTTTTTCTTTCCTGTTTCTTGGATTTGACAAAACTCGCACTTGCACTCTGATTGCCCCATAACCTTGCTAACTTTCTCCTCACCATTTTGTAAAAAAAAATCCTTTAAATCTGTCTGTTCAACTCTGCTTCCAGTTATCTGTTGTACCAGTGCTCCAGATTTGTTTTTTGTTGTGAAAATATATCAGATATTAAGTATTATAGCTTGATCGGGGCACCGATTAAGGATATAGACCAAGGGAATGAAGACATTGCAATATGCAAGTATGGTATCGTAGTTACGAGACTAGTTCCTATTTAAAAAGATAAACTGCTGGCAAATCCCTGTAACATCAATTTTTGTGATAATCTTTGACTAGTGAATTTGCAGTTGTCTTCATGCTCCTGAACACTTGGGAAACTTTATATAGACACACTTAATGTGCTTGCTTTTCACATTGAAAGTTAACAGGAAACTTTCATATTTACTTTTTAATCTTTTTCTTAATTGATCCCCTTGAATGTTTTTAAATGTTATGATGTACTGATTTTCAGTATCTTTACAGTTTATGTAAAGTGAAAGCAGCTGGAGATTATCTTTTGGTGATGGCCTTAACAATTCTTGCTTCATATCGATGCAACCTTGTTCGCAACAAGGCAGAAATTGTGCAGTTGCAAAGAGAGAATGAAGAACTAATGTGGGCTGGCTATCAGATGACATTTTTACACACACAGACACGCAGACACACACAGGCACACGCACATAGACACACACAGACGCACAGTAGTTCGACTTAGTATATAACATTGTCGGAGAAATGCTGATTCAGTAGTTGTAATGAAATTCTATAGAATGATCAATATGTTGGAGGGGAACTTACAAGCCTGTTAAATGTTCTGGTGCCATAAACAATTGATGGATGTTAAGACGCCAGAGCTTTTAACACCTGATATTTATTAATGAAATTTTGCTTCTTAACATTACCATGGCAAATTCCAGGCTGTAAATGATGGTGAAGTTGTCACATTTTGCTGTCAGCCCTGTACTGAGACTGGCCACATCTCTGGGCATTTGGATGTGTGTAGTATAATGTAGAAATGCACAGCTTGCTGCCAGTGAATCTAGGCTTCTCTAGTGAATGTTCTGTACATGTTCCCATAGGCTGTTAGCCCCACTAGTGGTGAGGGATTGATGAGAGTTTCCATCTCAATGTTGACAGTGTCACTGCGTAAGCCCTCTGAATTTGGAACATCCGGATGTGTAAATAAGGTACTAACTTTATTCTTACGACTCAGCAGCCTGACTTTTTCAAAATAACTAACTTTATGTTTCTGGGAAGGCAGATTTCTTTTCGTTTATCCACAGGTTGCTGGCTTAGCCAATATTGCCCCTAAGGTGCTTGTGCAGGCACCTTTATGAATGAGTTAAGGTTTTCTGCTTCTTTTACTATTTCAGGCAGGGAGTTCCAGAATCCTTCCACCCTCTGGGTGTAAAAGATTTTCCTCATTTCACCTTTAGTCCTTCTACCAATCGTCTTAACCAAATACTTCCTAATCACAGACCTCACTGCTCAGATAAACACGTCCTTTCCATCCAGGCCACTCTCAATTTTGTCCACCTCAAACAAATCTCAAACCAGTGTTCTTCTCCGTTGAATGGAGAACAACCCCAGTCTATCCAATCTTTTCGCACAGCTGCAAATTTCTAGTCCTGGCAACATCCTGGTAAATCTCCTCTGTATCTTCTCTACTGCAATTCCATCCTTTCCATGATAAAGTGGCCAGATCAGTAAACAGTACTCAAGTTTTTGACTAACTAGTGCTTTGTACAGCTCCAGCCTAACCTCCCTGCTCTTCTATTCTCTGTAATAGCTAATTAAGGAGACAATTTTATCTGTCTTCTCAATCACTTATTGACTTGTCTTTTTACCTACTAGAATCTGTGGGTATGCACTCCAAACTCTCTCTCACTTCCTATTTGCCGCTCGGTATTTTGCCATTTACTTTGTATTCCTTTGTGTTGTTTCCATTTTTCAAATGGATCACTTCTCATTTTTCCTGGCTGAATTCCATTTGTCACTTTCTTTGCCCACCTGACCAGTTCATTGAAATCTTTCTGAAGTCTACAACTGTCCTGCTCGCTATCAACTACCTGGCCCATTTTTGGGCAGTCTGCACAATTTTTGCTCATACACCCAATATTTTTAAAAAGTTCATTCATCGAATGCGATGATGAGGAGGTGCCGGTGTTGTACTGGAGTGGACAAAGTTAGAAGTCACACGACACCAGGTTATAGTCCAACCATTTATTTGAAATCACAAGCTTTCAGAGTGCAACTCCTTCATCAGGTTAAGTTGAGAATCAACCACATTGCTGTAGGTCTGGAGTCACATGTAGGCCAGACCTGGTGAGAATGGAAGTTTCCTTCCCTAAAGGACATTAGTGAACCGGATGGGTTTTTCCTGACAATCAACGCTTGATTAATGGTCATGATGTGACTGTTAATTCCCGATTTTTTATTGAATCCAAATTCTCCGATCTGCCATGCTGGGATTTGAACCCAGGTCCCCAGAGCATTACCTGGGTCTCTGGATTAACAGTCTAGCAATAAAACCACTAGCCATCGCCTCCCCGAATGTCCAAATCATTAATAAGGACCACAAAAAGCATGGGACCAATAACTGAGCCCTGCACAAACCTAACGGAACAACTTTCCCATTGCAAAAATGCCCATTGTCACTGGTCCAATTTGAATCCAGCTTGGTGCATTCCTCTGGATCTCACATACTTTTATTTCCTTAACCAGTCTTTTGTGTGGGATCTTGTCATGAGCCTTGCTAAAATCCACGCAGAGGACAATCAATTGCACTACCCTGTTAATCCGTTTTGATACCTCAAAAAATTCAGTTAATTAAGTCAGGCTCTATTTTTCCTAATCAAATCTGTGCTAGCTGTCCTTGATTATTCCATTTCTAAGGGGCAGTTTATCCCGTGTCTCAGAATTGATTCTAATAGCTTGCCTACTACTGATAACACAGTGTGGAGCTGGAGGAGCACAGCGGGCCAGGCAGCATCAGAGGAGCAAGAAAGTTGACGTTTCAGGTCGGGGATCCTTCTTCAGACTCTGAACAACACAGCTTTAGGAGTGCTGCTCCTTTTGTGAGGTCACGTGACAAAGGAACAATGCTCCAAAAGCTTATGATTTTGAATAAACCTGTTGGACTAATGTGACTTCTGACACAACATTGTCACTGGTTTGTGTGTGCAAGCTGTTGTGTTTATTACGGGTAGAGAGAGAGCTTTTTTTCCTAAAGCCCTATGTTGAGATGCCAGTTGAACTTAAAAGGCTGTCTCTGTGCCCTAAATAATTTTCTAATACCTGGTCTGCCTGAAAACACAGTTTAAAAATATAGACTATGACTGGTTTGTAGCTGCTCAGTAATACAAAGCTTGAATATTACTGAAAATAAAGGCACATTTTATTGATTCAGAGATAGTAGGAAGTGCCGGTGCTGGAGGATCTGAGATAACTAGGTGTAGAGCTGGATGAACACAGCAGGCCAAGCAGCATCAGAGGACCTGAAACGTCAGCTTTCCTGTTCCTGT